AGAGAGAGAGAGAGAGCGATCAGCTACATAATGAAGGTATATTGTAAAAAAACAACTGAACTGTCTTCTTAGAACAAGTTTTACATTTAGTCATTTTTAATAATTCCAATATATGTTGGGCAAAATAATTTTATTTTTGTTACTCTATATCTTTGCTGTCTCAATCATTTTGAGCTTAAAACTTATTAAAATCCATTTATTTAAGGATGCATTGTGACAACTTATCCATATGTGACAACATGCACTGGAAAAGAGCAGCATGTGTTTAATGAACTGTATAACATTAACTGTTTTTTTCTTCTCCAGAGCAACGATTACACTCTAGGATATATGTATCTATATACATATACTGACATCGAATATAAACCGAGCCTGAGAAATATTTACTGGAGTAAAAGGTGTGACAATTAACCCCAGTCTCCCCTACGACATGCAGGTTTTTGCTTCTCCGGTGTTCCCCGCACATAAGTCTAATAAATAGCCAAAATGCATGCAAAGTCACGCATTTGCATCTTTTGCATGCCTATTCCTGCAGGGCTAGAGCAGAAGGTTGATAGTGTGCAGGCTTGGGAGGTTTTGCCGGTCCGCACGATGCCGTTCCCTTGCGCAGAGATGCATGATTAGTTGTGGTTTGTGTTAACTAATATGTGCACGTTTTTGTGTACCACTTTAAATCATCTTTGTTTGTGTTTTGCAGTCCCCCATTTGTTGTAGTTTGTGACGGCTGTATTCTTGCCCCTGGTTTTTTACTATTAGGCATATTTAAGGCCTTGCAGGCGCGCGCAGGCAGCAGAGGCACTATGTTCAAGGTTGAGTTACTTTTGGGGCTTTTTTTGTGTGAGCTATTTGTCTCAGCAGTCAGTACTGTTAATGTTACATTAGGTGTTTGATGTTTCATCATTTCAACCAATATTGCGTGAGATAATGAATGTAAAATGAAACCGCTAGGAGCACGTTTGAATTCCCTCAGAAGGTGCGGGGGGAAAAAATCCACGCGCCATGCCTATTAGCCTGGGTAATTTATTTTATGTATGTCAGAAAACAAGAAGGCCAGAAAAAGAATATGGGGCTTTCTTTTCCATTACCAAACATTACAATCTTATTTCCATCACTGCACCGTTAAGTAATTTGCGAAAAGCCAACAGAGTCTGGCGCGCCACGCGCGTGGCGTGTGTTTAAACCCATTACTTTACCTTTTAATCAAACCTCGCGCTCGTGTCAAAACGCGCCGTTTTCGCCATGCATCTCTCTGAGCTCGTTCCAGTTCACCGGATGACCTTGAAAATGTTTGCTCTCCTAAACGCTGTCGTCTCTCTCTCCCTCTCTCCCTCTCTTTCTCTCTGTCGCACACACACACACACACCCATGTAATGTTTTCATTGTTATAATATCCTTGTTTCAATCACTTTTTAAATTGTCACAGTAATTTCTCTCATTTCGACCTGATTATATGAGATTTTCAGAATATCAAGTTGACTTTCATCATCACAGTTATGTTCAAAGAGGTCAAAAAGTGTGATCAACTTATCACTGCAGGTTGTAACTTTTATCTTACCAATTTCAGGCAGCAAGTAAACAAATTTAAGGTAGGGAAATTAACTGGTTTGTTTGTTTGTTTTTGCTGCACACAACTGTACATAGAGAAGATGGGTAATTCAGTGAAAATTATATATTTGTTTCCATATATAAATATACTGTCAGGTTTTGTACAGTATTTGTGGAAATATCTGCATAAACTGTCTTTCTAGTAAACACATAACTAGGCTATATAGTGTCACCTTTATGTATACTGGAAAAAATCGTGTAGAAACAAATTTCACTCACAAATTAGCCTACTAGTCAATTTTTTACAAAGAAAGGCAAGTAACACATTGAAAACATGACATTTGAAGTAGGCTAGAAACTGAAATAGTACTATTAAATAGTACTATTAGGCTAGATGAACTCTATTTACAAACAATTCGATTTACAATTATCTATTTTTACATATAAATACATACATTTCAACCGCGTTTGCAAACATTTCAGTAACCGGAAGTCGCGTTCTCCCGAGGAAGTAACCAGTACGCCGCTCGAGCGCTTTTCGTTAGGATGCGTGTGGTACGTACATCAACAAAACATAAATCCCGTCGTTTAACACAATATTACTTTTATATCACAGGTATATAAAACGATGTATATCAAAATTATTTTAAATAGTTGACTGGCGCCAAATACAGTTTGGTTGCGCGAGAATCAGAAAAATATTGACAGGAATTTCTTTTTAAAAAGTGGTTCTTTTGAGAGAACTTTTAACTTATAAAATAAACACACCGCAAAAGATTAAACACTTTAAAGAACAATTAACAGTTCAAATTATTAATTTAGGTTTGGCGAGCACAACCGAGAAAACTTATATGCACCCGCGCCTATAGGATTACCTTTATGCTTTTTGGAAGACGTGTGTGTGTGTGTGTGGGTGGGGAGGGGGCATGCTAGTTGCTTTCGGCTGTGATTTATCGCAGTCCCGGGGAACGCGGCTCCCGTTCCTGTCCTAACGCATTTCAGCGCGCGCATCAGCCGTGATTAAACACCTGCTATGGCGCGCGAACAAAGCACGCTAATCCAATATGTATCTCTGACATCTTAAATATCGTCCAATCCCCCGGCATCACGCGCAGTTTTTCCGCAAGATGGAATTCTAAAACATATTTTTCTAATTTATGGACGGACGATAAATCAAAATTAAGCCGTGGACAATGAAATATAAATCAGTGTGCTGAGAACAGGCCTGAAATGCAGCTACTGGGGTTTGCAGTGTGGTTTGTGGATCTGCTTTATGAAACATCAGACATGCTCAAGCCAAATTCTGTCCCAACACAAAATCTACCATGCTGAAATCCCATACTACTATGCAACAGTTGTAACTGCACTGTGAAAAAAAAAGCAATTGCATTTTATCCATTGCATTTATAGCGATGTGCCTATAGTAGATATATAGTAGTATAGTATATAGTAGATGTGCCTAATAAGATATATGAATAACTTTTTATGTAAACACATTTTAGATCAACAGTAGGCTATCTGTGTGTATGAATCTGCTGCACTTATTATCTTTGCTTAGTTGCATATGCTTTCGTTTTCTTTTTTTTACTCAAGATTTTTGCTCAAATCTTAGACCTATAACTGTATTTTATCCTAGATCTTAAAGTCTGCGGTTGCTTCACTAAACCTACATGCTTCTGCAAGGCATCTTACTTTATAAGGTATGAGGTGAGTTTATGCATTTTATATAAATCCTAACGTAATTTGCATGCTCTTTTGTCATTTCAATCATAGCCAGTGAGTCCTATGGTGCTGTTGTTTTCTCTGGCACTAGATTGCTTGTTCTCAGACAGACATAAAGGAAGGCCATTCTCTCCGGTCACTGTCCCGGTGAAGCTTATTATTTGTGACTCTTCAATTCCACAGTTTCCCAGAATTCTCAGCACATTCTGCCCAGTGTATTATGCGCCGTGAACTACTCGGACATCAGACGCGTGTCTGTGGCCCTATAGCCACATAATGGATTCAGCACCCTGTTCTCATGTTTGGAAACAACCCAACATCAGTGGCCCTATGACCGCTGAAACAAAGAAAATATCTGACCATCGTTTCGTTTGCCCTTACAGACTTTTATTACGGATTTCCATGCTGAACGAAGTCCAGGAGAAATGGCTCGGTGCAGAAACAATACATCATCAGACTGACCTAGTTTGCAGGACCGCGGGTGCTTGCGAATGATAATTGTTTGTAATCATCTTAATTAATATAATAATCATCTAATTTTATACCTCCTAATGAAAATTAAGTGCATTTTGATGCATAAGTTGTAATCAGCAGGCCAAGTAATTCATCTAATGATTTGTATCGGTGTTTATTCAAATAAGCAAACAATTTAATGCATTAATTTATACAGATTAAAACTTTGCAAGCTCGAACAGGGCGGTGGAGGTAGACCGGCAAGGCGCTTTTACATTGAAGCACCTTCAAACAGAACCTGTACATAAAACAAACGTTTGTAAATATTACAGTAAATATGATAGGTCAATGACAAATAAGGATGCTTGATATGATAAAAATGAGCAGTCTAGCTTAAAATGCATCCCTGTTCCAAACTAAAAATGGTTCAACTGGTGACCAAAGTTGTTTTGCTGGAAATTTGTTCACTAAGCGCATCATTTGTCTAACTTTAATTTAATGACCAGTGACAATCTCAGTAACTCACAATATTTACCTGCATATTATGTGGCATAATGTAGGCCACAGAGTGTAGATGAAAAATAAGTCCAAAATTAATCATATATAAATAGGTTATGAAAACTTGGTTATGATTTGAGGCCTGTGCAAATAAAATGTGGAGGCTTAGAATAATATATAGGCGTTTTATTTATGAATTCATATTATTTTTTATAGTGGGCCATTTGAATAATGCTGCTATATGTATATTTTGTAACTACGTCATTTTTTAATATTCAGAAAGGAAATGAATAAAGAGCCGTTTCTTGTATTTTCTGCAGACATGCTTAATTTTAGGATGTTTAATGTCACATTTCTATTGTCCTTGGCTTTCAGATCTTCTGTGAATCGTTTCCATCAATGCATCAGTCAATCAATCTTCACCAACACCACACGCCATCAGCATCTCTATTTTGTTGTTTCTTCTAATGAAAACAGCTCTCCATGAGAGTTCTGATGAGTTCGAGTGATGAATGAGGACACAGTTTGGTGAGAGTAAGTGAAAATCACACTCTCTTCCTCCACTCAGCGACTTTTATGTAAAACAGCACAATTAAACAATGTCCTGAAAATGAATGTATGCTGGAAACATGAGGCTCATTTGGCTGATGAATGGCCGCACTTTGGATCAAATGCGATTTTAGTTGAGTGTGCGTTTAATACTGCTCTCATTGAAGTATTTCAGACCGATTTTCATTTGTTGAATTTAATAATTTTTAGCTTTATTTATTTTTAGTTTTTTTTATATATATATTTTATTAGCTTTGTTGTTGTTTTTATTTATCATTTAAACTTGCCTTTTTTTCTCCCCTGGTCAGGCCGGTCTGTTTTGATGGTTTGAGCACATCTCAGCTGGTCAGGCAGGAACACCATCTGGTAGACCAGCAAAATCCAGCTGAGCACCAGTTTGGCCAAGCTGAAAGACCAGCTAAACCAGCAAACAACATTTTACGCAGGTTTAAGATATCTTTTCAGCATGGTTTATTATAATTATTATTAATAATAACTATTTTAGTAGTAGTAGTAGTAGTAGGCCTACTGTTGTTGTTCCTGATGTACTTTATTGCAGAAGTGTTTACAGCACTAGTTGAGTTGTTCTATATCATGGCCATTTTAGTTGCTCTTTGTGAGAGAGGGAGAGGGAATTTTCATTCAGCTTTTGCCTCTGTTCAGCCCCTGAAACGGGGATGTGATCAATCTGCCGCCTATTAAGGCCGTTAATTGATAATGCATACTAATTAGGCAGAGCTTTGGTGCTTTAGAGACTTTGAGGAGGTAATTGTCGGCACAAGTCCAAATGTATTTTAAAAAGCAGTCTGCATGAGGTGAAACATTTCACTCTGCTGGCGGCGTGAGGGGCCTGTAATGAACTGAACTCATAAACAGGTTTAGTGCACAAGTACCAGTAAAAAGTTTGGAGTCAGTAAGATTTTTATTTTTTGAAAGAAATTAATACTTTTATACAGTACAGACACATTAATTTGATGAAAAGTGACAGTAAATACATTTATAATGTTACAAAAGATTTCTATTTAATTGAATGATGTTCTTTTATATTTTCTATTCATCAGGAATCTTGAAAAAATTTATCATCTTTTTCCATAAAATATAAAGCAGCACAACTGTTTTCAACATTGATAATCATAAGAAATGTTTTTAAAGCATCAAATCCGCATATTAGAATGATTTCTCAAGGATCACATGACTCTGAAGACTGGAGTAATGATGCTGAAAATTCAGCTTTGCATCACACAAATATAATATATCTTAAAATATATGCAAATAGAAAAGTTATTTTAAATTGTAATATTATTTCACAATATTACTGTTTTTACTTTATTTTTGATCAAATAAATGTAGCCTGGGTGAGCATATTCTTTCAAAATCATCTAAAAAGTCTTACAACCCCAAACTTTTGAACGATAGTGTATGTAAAAATATAATTTTGTAACTTTATACAACATATGATAACTATAAGAAATTTTGTTAATATTTCCAATTATAATCAATAATGGCTAAAGCTAAAAACCATTTAAGAACCTATTAAGAGTGATCATAGAACATTACAGTTCATATTGTTCCACATTCAAAGCAAATTATGTTAGGAGCAGGTGAGCTATGTCAAACACAGATGAAGTGTCCTTGCATGAAGGTGGTTTGAATGTTGCATTCCAACAGTAGGCCCACACAAACTTCTCTTCCGTTGATGCGAGCGTGGTCATCTTGAGTGAGACGCATTTAACTTCACTTGATGCAATATCAAGCAGCCCCTGACAAGCATGCATCAAAGCACGCAGCTCTAATTAAACTAGATCAACATGTGAGAATATTTGTTCCTTTTCAGTGTCAAAATCAAGACCCTTTGAACCGTCAATCTCCCGCGCAAATGAGCGTGTCTGTCTGCTGTGTATAGAGGCTGGGTGTGATGTTGTCAAAAGCCGTTGCCATGGCGGTTTGTTGTGGTGCTCGACCCGAATTTGTTCCCCTTTGCTGCTCACAAGTGAAGCCTGTGGCGCGTGTCTGAAGGTTGTCACATGCTGTTTTCTGTCTGAACAGTTCATGGACATCCTTTAAAACGTGTGGCTGTATTAATATTTATTCAAAACTTCAAAACTAATACTTTGTAGTGAGAGATTTGCGATCAATAGACTATAAAAAAGCTTGTATACACTGTAAAAATTACTTTTCAAAGATTATTGGAGGACGTTTTACAAGAAAATACAATTTCAGTCTTTCTACTTCAAAATTTCACAGTTCATTCAGTGTTACTTGATGTATCTTTGTAATTATTTGTGCAATTTACTAGCAATTTCTGAGTAAAAGATGTAGGGTTTCTGCAGGTCTTAAAAAGTCTTAATTTGCCCTTCCACAAATTAAAGCCTTAAAGGGATAGTTCGCCTTCATTTGCTGGTCCCCATTGACTTACATAGTATGGGGAAAAAAAACACTATGCAAGTCAATGGGGACCAGCAACTGAAGGTAAACTATCCCTTTAAAAAGGTCTTAAATCAGAACAGGAAGTATCAAATTCATAAAGTCATGGCATTAAACGTTTCATGCACAAATTAATATGTTCCTCAGTATTTTTGGCGTTTTCCAATGCAAAGAATTACTTGAGTTGCAACATGAAGATATTAACTTATTTTATGAGAAACTGAACAAAATAGACATATGCACCGGAAAACAAGAATAATATACTAAAGAACATCATCACTTTTTTGCAGTTTGATCACAAGGTACAGTAAAAGTTATTTCCATATATTCTAGTGGTTGGGAGCAGAGGTATTCAAGCCTTAAACTATTTTTTTTTTTTGTAAAATTAATTAAAAAGTAGTGAAGATCATTTTACACTTAGATAAAATATTGACGTATTGTGTTCGTTTCAGTTTGTTCCTTAAATTTTCTTTACATTGTCTTAAAAAAAATCTTACATTTTAACTTCATAAAACCTGCAGAAACCCTGAAAATAGTTTCTACACCAAATTTCTTTCTGTGTGCTAACACAGTCCTGACAAAAATGTTTTTATGCTCACTAAAGCCATCCATTGAGTGTAAAAATAGCCCTCTGATGAGACTTTTGAGAGATTCAGCAAATCAAACTAAATGACAGGTTGAAATAAATATAGCCGGGTCACGGCACCACGGTGGCCTGGTGTTATATTATTTGTTGTCATAAAATGCATTTAACTCATTGTTTATCATCGCCAGGGGCGGATTTAGTGAATTGGGGGCCCTAGACAAAATATAGGAATGGGGACCTATACATTTGCACACATTTTCCTAGATCAACCTTGAGGTTCCTTTTTTGTTGTGATGCTTGCTGCTGCACAATGGTGCCCCATAGTTGTGTCCAATGTTTCCCTGATCATCGCTGACAGTTTTTCCTCTTGAAAATGTGTGAATCTGTTTTATTTAGCCTCTCTCTGTCTCTCTCCCTCCCTGTCTACCTTGGGGTTTTTTTTCTTCTTTTTTTTGTTTTTGTTTGTTTGTTTCCCGCTTTTCTCGAGGGGTGCGTGAAGACAGACAAGCTTGCCAGATTCATTTTCTGATCAAAGCTGTTTGATTTGGTCAATTCTGCCACATTGGAGACGTTCTCTATTACTGAGATAAATAGCCCCGGGCTAACTGTCAACCAAAACTTGTAAGCTAATAAATTATTCCAATTTCTCCGTGCCGGATTTCTCCTGGGAGACAGCCTCTAGGAAATACACTTTTTGATTAGTAAATTTCTGTGTGTGTGTCTCTGGACATTCGGATGTGTCGTCTTTGATTAGCGGCGGCCCTGTTAGAGCCGAGGGCGGCAGAGGGGCTGTCAGTCGAGCACAGACTCTAATGCATAATGCATTGACACAACCGGCTTTCTGCCACCTCCCTCTACCAGAGCGAACGCCGGCGGACTAGGTTCCCCTCACCTGAGAGCTCCCTCTCTCTCTTTCTCTCTCGCTGTCCCTTTCTTGGCTAACCAGCTCAGGAAATAAAGCATCGTGACAGATCCTCGCTCGCTGCAGTCCTGTAGTTATGAGTGCCCGGCACACACGCACACACTTGGAAGTTGGAAATGGGTTGACTTGAGCTGAAAGTGTGCAATCAGCAGAATAGGGTAGAGCTGTTTGACTGATAGGCTGTTGGGAAATTGATCTCCACCCACTGGCCCGATAAACCCCCGCCTGCCCTCTCTCTTTTTTTCTACACTTCTCTTTTATCTGTCTTCTTTTCTCTTTTACCTCTTTTTGCAGGCGCCAGCACACAATCTGAAGCCATTCTGTGTATCCCTGCCACAAAAATGCTGGTTCTGGTTCTGCACCTGACACTTAAACGTTGTGGTCTTCAACCCGATGTTCTCACCAAGTGCACTTTTCAAAGTTAAATGCAAATGAAAATAGATGTTATAAAACACAACTTTTTGATCATCAACACTTCAAGTGGCCAATGCAACATGCATTTAGTTGCCATTCAGCCTGTTTCTTTCATTTAGCTTTGAATTTATTTACAAATAGCACATGCATTTGCTGTGAGTTTTATGCATTATATGACTTTTAAATATAATTATTTAAATTATCATTGTGTTTGTTACTCACACCCTGACGAAGGCAAAATAGCCGCAACGCGTAGGTGTGCACTTGTCACCTGTTTTTAAAACTTATAGCCATGATGAAATAAAGGCTTTTTAAAACTTTTTGAATAAGATTCGAGTGCCTTGGACTACTGTTATTCTTATAATTATTTAAAATCGATTTTTTTATTTTTTTAAATGTACATATAACTATTTATTTATTAGTAAGGTAGAAAAGGTACAAAGTGATAAGCAAAAGATATAATTATCCAAATTTAAATGTATTTATTAAATTAATTTTAAGTACAACATTTCATAAGGCATAAGACGTGTCCAGCGAAACGAAAGTGGCATTCGGTGATGGTCACGGAGAGGGGCCGTGCGTAGGTGCGACGATATACTTCCATGTTCGTAACAAGTGATCTTGAGGACGTGTCGCAGACTTCGGAGGTGGAAAACGTCCAGCTTTTGAGCAAAGGATTCTGTCATCTTCCAAGTCTCACACGTGTAGGTTGCCGTTGGCACAACGATCGTGGCCAGGAGTTTAATCTGCAGGGAGAGGGAAGGCGAGTTCTAGATTGGACGAGGTCGTTGGAAAACGGCAGATGCCTTGCCGATGCGGCAGATGACATCTCGTACTGCGTCCCCATCTGAGGAGATGACAGTACCAAGATAAGTGAAGTTTGCCACTTCCTCCACTTGTTGTCCATCGATGGTAATCGGGACCCTCAAGTTTACGTAACTGATGCAAACGACTTTGGTCTTCTGTCCACTAATTCGGAGTCTGGCGATGACCGCTTGATTTTCTAGGGCCATAGTGAGATCACATAGGGCAGTTTGGTTCAGGCTGAAAATGACGATTTCATCGGCAAAGTCGAGACTGGCAAGGAAGAGGTT